CCCCATGTATAGGGTTGCTGGGTTGTTTGGGGGCCAAAAGGCAACTTGTACATGTCAGTTTTCAACTTAATATATAGGTATGCTTGGTCTAGCTTCACTATGACATATTTTTGCACCCCCCAGTTAATGTTACTATCATGACAGTATATATAGTATATATTTTTATAAAGTAGACATCAAAGGTTATAGAAGATGGGGTGTTTTGACTTCTTTCCCCCAACCATTTTGCCCCCCCAAAGAAAGTGTAGTGGTCATTTTTTTAATTCTGGTTTTTATGCACGTCATCTGGTTTTGGCCAGCTGGTTATGTGTTACTGCCAGAAAACTTGTTAGACCAAATGTGCAGGTAGCAAATGTACATTTAGCAGCAATCTTTAAACTGACTCCTGCAAATAGAATCTAACTGGAGATTTGGGGGAAGGAAACTGACTAACAAAAAATGGCTGCTTTCCAGAGAAACAAAAAATAAAATAAAAATTCAGGAACACTTCTTGTGGCAAACATCGCCACTTGTAGCATGCTGGACTATATATATATAAAAAGGTTGTCTGTAATAACCGCTGTACTATATGTATAACCTTGGTTGATAATGTTATGTGCATGGAATTTGTATGCTAGCAGCCGAAAGCCGCTAGCATTCATGTGTTTCGTTTCATGAACAGCGACTTTACTGGCTCTTCGTGAACCGAATGAGCTACCCCCAACAATGTTGCAATCAGTATTTAGAGACTTTCCTAGGTGGCCGTCGTTATGCTACCGACCACGCGGCGGTCGGCCATCTTGGATCCTTTGTCTCACCAGTGGTGTTTGGTCGTCGAGCGCGTGGAACTGAAAACGGCTACTCGACGGCGTGAACACCGCTGGACTTCCAGGCCGTTCGGGAGCTCCAGTCTTTCGTTATTGTGGTTCCCCATCGGTGTTCGGTACGTTTAGGCAAACTCGATAGCAAATTTCGCGTGGCGTTCGGTTGTTTAAGCTGGGATCTGAGCGGTATTCCCACGAAATGTGCGCTCAGACCCCAGCTATCTACCGAACGTCCATTTGTTTAAATAAACCGAACAGTGTAAAAGTTATGTATTTAAATGTGAAATGCCGGTTTTGCTGCACAGAGGGATAATCCACTTAACGGTGTATTCCAGTGGAAGTATCCCTCTCGTCCAGCAGTGCCTGATGGGAGAAATGCCCAGAATGTTAAGTCCCCCATGGAGTCCCCTACTGTGTTACCCCTACTATGTCAGTAGGGAAACCCCTTGCATGGGGACTTGCATAAATACTGGAGCTGTGAATAAAAACCTCAGTTGACACCCAGAACTGTGTTTCGTCCGGTTACTGGGGGATTTGGGATATTGCCTTACTTTTCAGCGCTTGACTGTGGATTACCTTCTTTACCAGCGGAGATCGTGGGATTTAATATTGCTGCTCTGCTACACTTCTTACAACTGTTCTGTGTGGTACAGCTTGAAACATGTTCCTACACACAGTCCTGGTTTCGAAGGGCAATCAGGACAGTGAAAAGGGGTGTCTGTCCTTTTCCCATTTTTAAAACAGACCCGGCAACGTTTCTGGGTTTGTTTGTTTTCTAGCAGTTGGCGGTAACTTAAAAATAAAATGTCTGGACTCAGCTTGCACTGTTGTTGGAACTTGTCCATCTCCATAAATTGTTAAAGAAATAATTTTCAACTGAAATTGGAGAAAGGTGGTTTTCCCTGGATTATTTTTTTTAAAAAGCAAAAATGAGTTGTGGGTTGCTATTTGCATCATATCGATAGCCACCTTTTTATACCATGCTTTGGTTTTTCATAAAATAAGTTATGGCTGCATCAGCTGATCAGCCAAATAAACACCCCCCATGTACTTATTATAGGCCCTGATGCAAACCGGTTTGGACTCTACTCTGCCCCGGACAGAGACGTCTGACATGCGTTCGTCATGGATGGTGGTTAGCATGTTGACATCCTTCCTGTCCCTAAATTTTAGTGCAAGCACTTCAGCTTTGCGAAGTGCTTTACATTCGCCTTTTTTTAATTTTGCCTCTATGAGAGATCGTGGAATGTCTTTGAAATTTTTTCTGGCAGTGCCGCAGGCCAGTGTCTGTAAACCATAAAGTGTTTTAAACAGACGGACACTACTATAAAAATTATCCACATAAAGGTGGTAATCTTTATAAAACAAGGGGTTCAGTAGGTCCCATACAAGTTTCCCACTTCTCCCCAGGGAGTCAGGACAGCAAGGAGGGTCCAGTTGACCATCTTTCCCCTCATATACACGAAAGGCAAACGTGTATCCACTTTCGCTCTCGCACACTTTGTACAGTTTTATGCCATACCTAGAGCGCTTTGAGGGGATGTATTGTCTGAACCCTAATCTCACTTTGTATTTCATTAGAGATTCATCTATGGATACATTTTGTTGGGGGGTATAAACATCCAAAAATCCAAAAATTTGTCCTGAAAATGGTCTAGCAGTGGGCGTATTTTATAAAGCCTATCGTATTGGGGTGATCTCTAGGGTGACAGAGGGTATTGTCACTGAAATGTAAAAATCTCAGCAGTAACTTATCTGGCTCTAGGCATGGTTTGGGAGACATTATTGGGTTGGTCCTCCAGTATGAGCGAATCTATGGCTTCTTTTTAATCCCCATGACCATTGTAAGAGCCCAGAATTTTTAAAGCTCTGGGACATCTGTGGGATGCCAGTCATGCTCCCTGACTGTATAGCTACCTGGATTATCAATAAATTGGGTAGCATACAAGTTAGTCTGAGAAGAAATCTCCTCCCAGATAGTATCCCCTAAAATGATTTCTACATACTGCATTGGGGAGAAGCCATCCACATTTACATTAATCCGTGCATTGGCACTAAAAGGGGGGACGTTGGGCTCGGCTAACTGTGGAGGTACCCAGTCCTCCTCCACATTCGGCGTAGCAGATGAAGCACAGCTTCTTTCTTCAGCCGGCTCACACACAGATGTCGTCTTGACGTGTCAGAAAACTGACCTGGGTCAAAATCTGACGCAGTGTCAGTGGCGTCAGAGTCTGACGCCAAGAAGACATATGCCTCATGCAAGTTATATATACACTGCATGTTTTACACACGACTAAAACATTACAAACACTCAAAAAAAATTTATACTTTTTTTTTTTTGTTTTTTTACTAAAACAGACTAAACAGCAATCCCTAAGCTAACTCCTGTCACAAAAATCTAATGGAGATTTGGGGGAAGGAAACTGACTGACTAAGACAGACCAAGATACAGATTTTTTTAAACAAATTTAACCCTTTAAGGGCAAAAAAATACAGACAGTACAAATGCACTGCTGTAACAGATCTGGCAGGGAAGGGGTTAAAAAGGATTTTTTATTCACTTTAGATACTGTTATACTGGCGGGAGCAATCTTTGATCGCTTCCCGCAGCCCGTTTTTCGCTATGACGGTTCAGGACCGTCAGCGGTCCAAACGCACGTTTTACCGCTGACAGTCCTGAACCATCAGCGGTCCTGAAGGGGTGAAAGGGAAACTCCAGTGCCAGGAAAACAATCCATTTTCCTGTAACTGCAGGTCCCCTCTCCCTCCCACCCCCAAATCCCCGGTTGCTGAAGGGGTGAATACCTCCTAGTGATTGCGTCGGCCGGTGGGCGAGACTGATCCCGCCCCCACCGGCCGGGTAGACCTAATGTGCATGTGCGGTAATGCGCATTAGCGCTCCCCATAGGAAAGCATTGAAAATGCATTTCAATGCTTTCCTATGGGGAAATGAGCGACGCTGGAGGTCCTCACATCCAGGAAGTGCCCTCTAGTGGCTGTCTAGTAGACAGCCACTAGAGGAGGAGTTAACCCTACAAGGTAATTATTGCAGTTTATAAAAAACTGCAATAATCACAGTTGCAGGGTTAAGAGTAGTGGGAGTTGGCACCCAGGCCACTTCAAAGGGCAGAACTATGATAAAATCATAAACACATTATTCCTGCATCCTCTTAAATAAAAGGAATGCTAAAACCATTGTAGCCAACATTGTAAGAATATATGTTTGTACATAGAAGTCTTGGAATACCTCAATCTAAGTATATTACAAATTCCCAGTAGATGGGGACCTAACAGAAGGCTAATGAATAAGTCCAAAGATTTTTGCAACAATATACTATTAGTAGGACTGCCAATAGTAAAGGTAACTAAATTATGTTGCTCTTACATAAATTAGGCCCAGTATTAGTGTAAACTTAGGTGTGCACATGGGGTGTGCCCAGGCATACACTAATGCACTTGCCAAGGCCAACAGAGCCTCTGGAGTACTGGCATTACGCAAGCACAAGCAATAAGTGCTGGCACTAGTCAAAAGAAGGGCTCCATGGACACCCTAATGTTGAGAGGTGGGGGTTATGAGAGAGAATTTAATCTGCACTTGCTGTTGGTACAGACCAAACTCTCCACTTCTACTGTATCAGAGCATTGCCAGGGGTCACCACCAAGGGTCACAACAGCAATCAGTGGAGGATCATCCATGAAGGCATTCTGGGCAGTGCCCCACCAGTTTTTATATGAGGAAAACATTTGCAGTAGAATAGAAACACTAAGATTCTTTTTCTGGAGAGGATGGTGGTAAGCCAAAAAATTATGGGAAAAAGGGGGCACAGGGGCTGTAGAGAGGGGAACAGGGGCTATAGAAGGAAGGGTAGGGGCTGTAGAGGGGCCATGGGGCTAAGAGGGGGCAGCAGTGGTGGTCAGGGGCTGTAGAGGGGAGAATGGGCTGAAAAAAAAGTCTTACCTTAGGCCAGTGAGAGGTTGGCAGGAGCCTGAAGCAGAAGCTTACAGCCAGCACAGAGCAGCCAGGGAAGTCGGTCGGCCTCTCTTGATGATGTCAGGAGGAGGGGGTGTGACTTCCACTGCTCTTCTCCCAGACTCCCCAGTGGATTGCGTCCATAGGCCCAGGTGAAGCTATGACTCCAGGTGGCACTTTAACAGTGGCAGCATTTTTCCGCCTTTGTGTCTGCCGTTTTGGGCCCAGGCCTGCTATCTGTGTGTGTGTGTGTGTGTGTATTTGTATATATATATATATATATATATATATATATATACATATATACATACACACACACACACACACACATATATACACACACACGTACATATATATATAGCGCAATAAGCGTATATCTATATATGCAGCCGGTGCTCTCTCCGTCCCTGGGGTCCAGTGGGGTTGCGGTGAGGCAGGCAGCTGTAAGTGCATTAGAGGCGGCGAGAGAGCTGTAATCCTTCTGCTCTGCTCCCTCGCGCACAATCTACTGATGCAGGGAGCCGGAATATGACGTCCGGCTCCCAGCTCCCTCACTGCCTCTAATACACTTACAGCTGTCTGCCTTACCGAACTGCCCTGATGCCAGCTCTTCTGCTGGGGTAGCCTGCAGGAAGTCAGGTTCTGAACAAGGGGAAAGCTCTTCAGCTGGGGGCCAGCTGGGGGTACCGGGGCATAGTCCTGCCCGGTAGCAAGGGGTAAGTTGGGGCAGAGGCCAGCGGGCCTCTGGGAGGGGGTCAGTGGAGGCTAACACCTCCTCTGCTAACCCTACTAACCTGGTTAGGAGTTGGCTGTGGAGGAGAGGGGTCGCTTACCTCTTCCTCCTGGTACTTCTGTTGCCGCTGGGAAGAGAGAGTGGATGTCTCCTCTCCCTGAAGGATGCACTGCTGCTGGGGAGAGAAACCAGTTGTCTCCTCTCCCTGAAGGATTAGCTGCTGGTAGGGAGAGACACAAGTTGTCTCCTCTCCCTGAAGGATAAGCTGCTGCTGGGGAGAGAGACTGGTTGTCTCCTCTCCCTCAAGGACAAGCTGCAACTGGGGCTCTGGGCCTGTTGCCCAGCACCCCTGTAGGGCCGGTAGAGAGACCTGGGTCCCATCTCCACCTGCCATTTGGGGGTCCTCCCAGGACCAGTCTATGAGGTCTTCGGGTACCTCTGGTTGCTGTTGGGGAGGGAGACCGGTTGTCTCTTCTCCCTGCAATGTACACTGCCACTGGGGAGGGGGACCAGTTGTCTCTTCACCCTGCCACTGGGGATGGAGGTCGCTGCTCTCCTCTCCCTGTGATTCGGTCTGCCGTTTGGAGAGAGACCGGTTGTCTTCTCTCCCTAACACTCACCCTGCCGCTGGGGAGAGAGACCGGTTTTCCACAGCCCCAGTCTGTACAACCTGAACTCACATTCCCATGCTGTTTGCTTCTCATCATACAACTCTTGCATGATTTGGTCGATCCTCTCCTCCTGAGGATCTGGGCCATACCAGGCTAGCCGCTTCTTTACCTCCGCAATGAAAACGTCACCCTCATAGCAATAAGTCATGTTTGCTTGGTGTCTCCAGGGTGCTGCTCCTCACACTAGAACACCATCCCACCGCTGCCACCAAATGTGACGGACCGTCCATCAATCGATGCTCCTAGCGCTTACCAAGGACCATCAGCACCGCACCGGACACCATAGCCACCGCAGACTCCATGTACAGCCGTAGCTTTGTTGGGGTCTCGCAGTCTCCTTCCCATCCTGGTCCAACCTCTGGACCCAGGACCGTGTGGGAAGGACCTCTCCTCCAAGAGGGTATAGCTGTATAGTTGAAGAGAGCTCTTACAGGAGCTAGTAGTGATATAGCTGTTAAAGCTGTTCCCTGCAACACGAGACGAGGCTGCGAGTTGAGGGTAAGAAGATCTGGTTTATTGAGTACAAAGGCATTTCTTTTATACACATTTTCAGGCCAGAGGCACACCGCCTGGACCTGATGGTACACAGGGACAAAAGGGACACAAACCAATGGGAACAATAATTAACACAGTAACACTCCCACATACAATCAGCAAGCCCTCCCCTCTGCCTGTGATATAATTAGCAAAGACAATGGGCTAACTCAATTAACTCTAAACAGAAAAAAACATACATTTTTACAAACCCCAAAAAGTATCCAAAAATACAACATATCCCGACAGTCACACCCCCCGATCTGGTTGAACAACATATCCAAAAATCACCCAGATCATAGAAACATAGAAACATAGAAACATAGAATGTGACGGCAGATAAGAACCATTCGGCCCATCTAGTCTGCCCAATTTTCGAAATACTTTCATTAGTCCCTAGTCTTATCTTATAGTTAGGATAGCCTTATGCCTATCCCACGCATGCTTAAACTCCTTTACTGTGTTAACCTCTACCACTTCAGCTGGAAGGCTATTCCATGCATCCACTACCCTCTCAGTAAAGTAATACTTCCTGATATTATTTTTAAACCTTTGTCCCTCTAATTTAAGACTATGTCCTCTTGTTGTGGTAGTTTTTCTTCTTTTAAATATAGTCTCCTCCTTTACTGTGTTGATTCCCTTTATATATTTAAATGTTTCTATCATATCCCCCCTGTCTCGTCTTTCCTCCAAGCTATACATGTTAAGATCCTTTAACCTTTCCTGGTAAGTTTTATCCCGCAATCCATGAACCAGTTTAGTAGCCCTTCTCTGAACCCTCTCTAAGGTATCAATATCCTTCTGAAGATACGGTCTCCAGTACTGTGTACAATACTCCAAGTGAGGTCTCACCAGTGTTCTGTACAATGGCATGAGCACTTCCCTCTTTCTACTGCTAATACCTCTCCCTATACAACCAAGCATTCTGCTAGCATTTCCTGCTGCTTTATTACATTGTCTGCCTACCTTTAAGTCATCAGAAATAATCACCCCTAAATCCCTTTCCTCATATGTTGAGGTTAGGACTCTATCAAATATTCTGTACTCTGCCCTTGGGTTTTTACGTCCAAGGTGCAATATCTTGCACTTATCCACATTAAATGTCAGTTGCCACAATTCTGGCAATTTTTCTAGTTTACCTAAATCATTTGTCATTTGGCTTATCCCTCCTGGAACATCAACCCTGTTACATATCTTAGTATCATCAGCAAAAAGACATACCTTACCATCAAGACCTTCTGCAATATCACTAATAAAAATATTAAAGAGAATGGGTCCAAGTACAGACCCCTGAGGTACCCCACTGGTGACAAGTCCAAGCTTTGAATATATTCCATTAACTCCAACCCTCTGTTGCCTGTCACTCAGCCACTGCCTTACCCATTCAACAATATTGGAATCCAAACTTAAAGATTGCAGTTTATTGATAAGCCTTCTATGTGCAACAGTGTCAAAAGCCTTACTGAAATCTAGGTAAGCAATGTCTACTGCACCACCCTGATCTATAATTTTAGTTACCCATTCAAAGAAATCAATAAGATTAGTTTGGCATGATCTCCCTGAAGTAAATCCATGTTTTCTCTGATCTTGAAATCCATGTGTTTTTAGATGTTCATCAATCCTATCCTTTAACATGGTTTCCATCACTTTCCCCACTACTGAAGTAAGGCTTACTGGCCTATAGTTTCCCGACTCCTCCCTATTACCTTTCTTGTAAATGGGCACAGCATTTGCTAACTTCCAATCTTCTGGGACTACTCCTGTTAACAATGATTGGTTAAATAAATCTGTTAATGGTTTTGCTAGTACACAACTAGGCTCTTTTAATAGCTTTGGGTGCATTCCATCAGGTCCCATTGACTTATTTGTCTTTACTTTTGACAGTTGAAATAGAACCTCTTCCTCTGTAAACTCACGTGTAATAAATCCTTTTTATCCTTTCCTTCATTTTCATTCCTCACTCTGTTTTTTTTTATAATTTCTAAAAGCTAACTTTTTGTTTTTAACTATTTTGGCCACATCTGCAGAGTACCACAGTGGTTTCTTGAATTATTTGCTTTTACTGACAAGCCTAATGCAATTTTCTGTTGCCTTCAATAGTGCAACTTTTAAATAATCCCATTTCTCTTGGACTCCATTTAAATTGCTCCAGTCTGATAATGACTCCTCTACCCATATTTTAAGTTTAGAAAAGTCTGATTTTCTAAAGTCTAAAACTTTTGTTTTTGTGTGGTGTGACTCAGTCACTGTTCTTATATTAAACCACACTGACTGATGATCACTGGATCCTAAACATTCACCTACAGTAATATCTGATACCAAATCTCCATTTGTTAACACTAAATCTAGTATGGCCTCTTCACGAGTTGGCTCCTCAACAACTTGTTTTAGAGACAATCCCAGTAGGGAGTTTAGAATATGTGTGCTCCTGGCACAAGTAGATAATTTTGTTTTCCAAAGTGTATGTCTGTCAGTGAGTTTCTGTGTGTGTCATTGAGTGAGTGTGTGTGTGTGTGTGTGTCTGTCAGTAATTGAGTGTGTGTGTGTCAGTGAGTGAGTGTATGTGTGTCAGCATGTGTGTGTCTGTTAGTGAGTGAGTGACATGAAGGGGCAGCAAAATGGATGTTTGCCTAGGCGTCAAAAATCCATGCACCGGCCCTGTGTGTATGTCTGTGTAGCCGTATCATTGTCTGTACATCTGTATGTGTGTCAGTATCTGCATGTGTGTCAGTTTTTGATACATATACAGACACACATACAGTTGCACAGGCACACTGATACACATGCAGATACACAAGCACTGCCAGACATGCAGATACATAGACAAAACTATACAATCACTGACACACATACAGATACAGATACATAGATACAAACACTGACACACATGCATATACACAGACACAGTGTATAGGAAAGTGTAATGGCTGCAGTGCACACACAGACACAAGCTACATTCCCAGCACACACAGACACACTACATCCAGGGCCGTCTTTGAAAAGGGGCAAAAGGGTCAGCTGCCGGGGCCCAGTTATTCCTGAGTGGCCCAAAGCAGCTGCCCTTGAGCATGCAACAATTTAATCAGGGGCCCGTGGCCTAGGTCAGCCAGCTCCCACTGGACCCCATGGAAGCCACCCTTCTGCAAACAGGAGGGTGGCTAAAATATGTGAATTGTTATATGTATTTGTACGTACATGTTTTTATGAGGTTGGGCATATATGTGTGTACTTGGGTGTCTATGTTTGTGTACCTGTGTGTCTGTGTATGTGTACTTGTGTATCAATGCATACCTGGGTGTCAGAGTGTATGTGTACCCATTTGCCTGTGTATATATACAAGTTTGTGTATGTGTAGTTGTGTCTCCAAATAGTATAACAGACTACGCTGGGATGATATCAGGGCA